TAGCACGTGAATGCTTAGGTTTTTAGAGATAAAGTTTCGGTAATTTCTGAGAAACCATAGCTAACTGTAAGAGTTCTATGATTTTTCTCTAACTGTGCTCAATTCTTAGAGAGACAATCTAGGAGGTGAATAATTGAGAACTAGAAGTGTTCCGTGCTATGTCGTATAATCCAGGAACAAGTAAAGTTGTAGTATCAACAGTAGCCGATGTTCTAGGTTCCGAGGAAGCGCGCTCTCACAGTCTATGGCAAGATTCGGCTTTGGTCCAACGAAATCTTCGTCGTCGAGGCGTGCGTAGCACACGAATATACCGCTGATTAACCTAATCGGGAATATCCTGTGACTAGGGTCCCGGCTAATCTTGTGGTAAAAACTAATAGTCCGAAGAATACGGATTTAAGACTGATTCTTAAGTCTCTGGTTTATTTGTTTTTTATTCTTAGGAGTTATCGCAACACAATACGGCCGAATATAATATTCCCCTTTGTTGTTCGAGAGTTCCTGGAGGAGAGGTAGATAGTGTTTCATTTCTATAGGTCTAACGCACTGAAATACGCGGCCACGATTCGTCTCGCAAATAGACTGAATCTACGACTTGGGGTCAGTTCTGTTTCAAACAAGCCAGTAATCCAGAACCCAGGAATTTGATTCAAGTTCAATATTTCCGAGTCAGACAGATAAGATGAGTTCCGCTCTCCTGTGAACCATTCGACCGACATTTCGCGATATACCGTGGAAGATTGAATAGGGAAATCCAGACGGATATCGCGTCTATGTCGGTCCAGACGCGAAGGTGTTTTGCGGGGCTTTAACTTCATGTTTCCAGGTTTCTTGAAGAGACTGAATATATATTTGGGGGGATAGAGCAATTCTGCAAATACAGTTCAGTTGATCTGGTGTATTTAATATAACTTTTCTACCCTTAAATTGTTTGTGTCCTGTATTTTATGTGTAAACGCTCGCACGCTTTGCCAGCACACCCCTCCCAGTCGTCTTCTTCCCAAACCATTTGTGCTCAAAACCCGATTATTATTCATTTACCTCCGTGCGACTAAAAGCTATATGATTTGTAGAGAGGGTTTTTCACGATTTTTTTCTTAGTTTCTCCTAAGAACGAGCCTTCGACAACGAAACTCATCCCGAAAAAAGCCGCCCCAAGATACTCCCATCTCCGCTAGTTTACTGTTGAATCCTATCCGAAAGAGGTGTATCGAGGAAAAAAGATTTGAAGGCAAAATGCCTTCTTCAATGATGGGAAGTCTGTGCTCGGTGCGGGCGTGAATCGGATTCTCTCCGGCTTGAATTACGATTGCAAGAATGTTCTGAAGCGTCCTCTTACTCTAAAATCCACCTGTATTCTTATATAACCTGTGCTTCCCTGAACATCAAGTACAATCTTTCGGTACTTGCAAAAAAGTAGCATACAGTCCGATTTCCGTTGCAAGCTATCATTCCCTGACTTAATCCCCCTCCTAGTTTTCTAAATGTTTGGTCGTGCAGTGTAACCCACTTTTTAGGTAAGGTCCGCGAGCGACGGGGTTGGGATCCCATGAATGACTTAGGGTCTTGGATAAGATTCATCAAAGGATGCCATAAATAAGTGAACATGGTTTGCAAAATATTAAGTTTCAAGGGTGTTTTGCAAACGTGAAAGATTTTAGGGATAAACATGAAAAAACCCGTTTTTTAATCAGTAACAGTGTTACTTTAAGTAGGAGTAATGTCTCCGTTGGCAATTTCTAGAAGGTTGTGTTGGGATTTTGTCTTTGATTCTTTGTGTAACTTCATGAATATTAGATAATGTTAGAGATCTATCTTGATTAGGAGTTTGGGTTCTATCATGATTAGGAGTTTGAGTTCTATCATGATTAGGAGTTTGGGTTTTATCATGATTAGGAGTTTGAATCCTATTCTAATTAGGAAGTGACGCTAGAGATAGGGTTTTGATTTCTCTATATATATCCTTCTATTGTTAGAGAAAAAAAAAAGAAGAAGAGAGTAGAGAGAAGATGTAGTAGAGAGAGAGAGAGCCAATATTCTTGTAATCTAGGGTTAGCAGAGGGCGTAGCCTGATTCAAGAATATTGCGCGAGAGGCGAGTGTTTCGTGATCTTTATCCGTACAAAAGATTACAAGGAGTGGGCTTTAGAGAGAATATAAGAGTTGATTATGTATGTGAGGTTGAGAAATTGAGAGACGAGAGTTGAGTGGTTCTTCTTGTAGTTCTCTCTGATACATAGTGAATTTCTCGTATTGTTGCCCCGTGGACGTAGGTCGAAGTTGGTCAACCAAACCACATAAATCTCGGTGTTCTTTTTCTTGATTGTGGTTGTTCTATCTTATTGATTGGGGTTGACATCCGAGTTGCGCATATCGTGGTAGGCGGGGAAACTAAAATTCCCCAACAAGTGGTATCAGAGCGATGATGATGGATCCGGGAGCGAATTTGCAAGATAGAAGACGATGCCGTGCAAGATTTAAAATTAACGTTACAAGAATCAAGATGAAAAAAGGGGAAAGGTTACTGTAGAAGAACACTGTAGCACGGTGGGAACTGTTCACATTGGGATCCGACGGTCCAAATTGATTTGTTAGCCGATTGAGGATTTAGAAGCGGGTTTTTGGTGATCCAGGAGTCGTTCCTAGGGTTTTTCGACGTGCTGAATTCGTTTTTGGCATCGGTTTCATCAAATTCAAACTCTACGGTAACTGATTTGAATTTTGATTAGAGAATGATGACTTCTTTGAGTCCAAAGTTTGATATTCCGCTATTTAACGGCAAGACAAATCTGATAGTAGATAAGGAGCAGGAGTTGGTTGGTGTGTATACTTGAGGAGGACAGTGCCTGATTAGGTGGAGCTTGCAAGCGGGCATGACCGAGTGACACACATGGAGATGAAGATGGTGGCGTTGGACTTGAAGATGGTGAGCGCTCATATTCAGTCCAAGCCAAGTGATGGAGGAGATAAAGGCATCCAGCTCGTAATGTGGAGTAGGAGAGGTGTACCGATATGATTCGAGATGAGCGATGCAGTTGGAGCACAAGTACAACAAGAGTGGTGGAGGCGCCACGGCGAAGCAAAAGATAGTGAGGATCATGAAGGCATCCAATTGGGAGTGCATGTGTTCTGATTTGAAGTACGAAAGAAATAGTAGACTCTAGCGAGAGATTCAAAGTTCCAAGACGACGATGATATATCTTCAAGGGAGTTTGGGAATCAAATCCAAGGTGGAGATTGTTAGGATTTTGTCTTTGATTCTTTGTGTAACTTCATGAGAATTAGATAAGGTTAGAGATCTATCATGATTAGGAGTTTGGGTTCTATCATGATTAGGAGTTTGAGTTCTATCATGATTAGGAGTTTGGGTTTTATCATGATTAGGAGTTTGAATCCTATTCTAATTAGGAAGTTAGGCTAGAGATAGGGTTTTGGTTTCTCTATATATATCCTTCTATTGTTAGAGAAAAAAAAAAAGAAGAGAGTAGAGAGAAGATGTAGTAGAGAGAGAGCCAATATTTTTGTAATCTAGGGTTAGCAGAGGGCGTAGCCTGATTCAAGAATATTGCGCGAGAGGCGAGTGTTTCGTGATCTTTATCCGTACAAAAGATTACAAGGAGTGGGCTTTAGAGAGAATATAAGAGTTGATTATGTATGTGAGGTTGAGAAATTGAGAGACGAGAGTTGAGTGGTTCTTCTTGTAGTTCTCTCTGATACATAGTGAATTTCTCGTATTGTTGCCCCGTGGACGTAGGACGAAGTTGGTCAACCAAACCACGTAAATCTCGGTGTTCTTTTTCTTGATTGTGGTTGTTCTATCTTATTGATTGGGGTTAGTTTCCGAGTTGCGCATATCGTAGTAGGCGGGGAGACTGAAATTCCCCAACAGGTTGAAGTCTATAAACGAATATCCGTTTTAGTACTACATTATTTTACAAACAACAAAATTACATGCTCCTCAAACTAGAATCTAATTTTGAAATTCCACCCATCAGGTTTTGCTCGCACCAACGAAATTGTTTGCAGCAATCAACTAGATTGAACGCTCCTGAAAGTTTAGTCCATTTGTAACTTTGATGTCCCAAAGTTCTTTTTTTTTTTCAAAAATGGCCCAAAGTTGAACGAGTTTTAATTTGACGCACTCCCTTGAAAGATATAACCGAAGGAGACTACAAAGAGCAAATTTGATTCCAACTCTTCGTTGTTTAACTTATGTTTTGGGACATGTACCTCCATTCCACTTGCGAGCGACGATTTTCTTTGTTTGGAATATTTTTATAATAAGCTCCTCATTATTCAATTACATCGTCAAAATTGCTCCCTGTAGTCTCCTGTGACTATATCAGTTAACATGGTATCTGAGTTCAATTCTATTGAACTCTGGTGTATTTTTGGGTGAAAACATTAAGATATCAAAGTTAAATATGGAGCGCAGATGGGAGTATATAAGTGCAATTAACCGATCCAAATATCAACAACTAAAAGTACTTCCATGTTTAGTTAGAAAAATCCAACATTGATCCATCAACAATAACCAGAGAAAGTACGGCTACTTTCTTTATATTAGCTATCGAAACTTCTAGAATGAATAAAGGATTGAAGTGACTCCTTGATTCCAAGCAACTTGAAGAAAATATGGTCCTTAAATAAAAACCACATTTGATTATCAATTTATACATAAACCATCTGTAAAAGAAGATCCTTCAATAAAAACCACATTTGATTGTCTATTTATACGTAAACCATCTTCAAACTATTTTTCGCTATGATTACCCCCTATAATAAGCAGTTGTTAAATACCAAATATATTACAGAGATAACTCTTAATTGAAACTAGACGTGGTCAATTATCAAAGACTTCAAAAGGGCCCGGACAGTTGATTGCAATAATAAAAAAATTAAAAAAAAATCCATTTAAAGTGATTTACATATAAATTGACAATTAAATGTGGAATCCATAGAATTGACGATGGTTTCTAGGAAAAAGACCATTTCCAAGTATATAAACAAACGCGAAAAATACCATTCAATCAAAAGCTTGATATTACACATACAACACAAAAGCTTCATGTCCTATCAAACATACCTGACAACTTACCTGCATTGGAGACAACATAGACATCCATAAAAGCACCCCAATTCCTCTTGCCTCCTTTTTCTCACACACAAGACACAACAAAAGTTCTCCTATTCCTAGCAATAATAATAAAGCAAAGCAAAGAACAGAAAAGCAACATAAAAAAGGCCAGCTGCATGCCTAAAGTTCCATCACGCGTGCTGCTCCCTGGGTCAAAAAGGGAAGAAGCACGTCTCTCCTCACGCGCGAAGGTCTCAATCCCAATCTCAATCATCAGCTCTGGCGTTTCTCACGCTTGGTAGTATCATACACGCGCGCACACACACACTGCAGTTGATCTTTACTTGAGAGCACCAACTCCAAGTCCCTTAGCCTTCAACCTCAGTGATTTCAGATACCCGATGGCCTCATCGAGCACGGCCATAGTATCTTTCCCCTTCCCTTTCCCACTGGGAATTATCCGCCTCAAAACTCCAACCTTCTCCTGGATCTTCTTCCTCTTGGCCTTCTTCGCACTGCTATTACAGTTGGTTGAGCTTGCAGTATCAGCTAGCGACAGATCAACCCTCCGCCTTTTGGATGGTGGATGTGAAGGATGAAGCACAGCAGAAGTAGCAACCTCCTCCTCCTCCTCTTCTTCTTCTTCGCCGTCTAAATTTTCTCTTGTTTTCTCTTCTTCTTCTTCTTCTTCTTCATATTCTTGTTCGTTGTCGGAGCCTGAGTAAAGGAGTGCATCAATCTCCTCAGGGTCTTCTTCATGCATCTCTTCGTTCACGTTCCCATTGTAAACATTAGTTCCGGCATTGGAGGGATAAGAGTAGGGGAACTGTGAACCAAATGGATTATTATACATTGGGTTTGTTTCATCTCCCAAGCGATCAAAAACCATGAACCTATTTGCATCTGAAGTAAACCCGGTTGGATTTGAAGACTGCATCGAAAATGGATTCGGACTGAAGAACCCAAAAGGGTCAGCATAGTTGGGATTTGTGCTCTGTTTAGGATCAAGAGCAGATGCTCCGACGTTACTTTCACAGTTGAAACTACGTAACTGCCACGGATCGAAGTCCTCCCCCATAAAAATATCACCTGAATCATTCAATATCAATCAAATTCTTCTTACCAATCCTTGCATAGTAACATAAAGGTTATAAAAAAAGAATTGAGGAAGTATTACCCACCGATGGAAATGACTGCAAGAAGGATCAAATTGGAGAAAGAATCACGCTCCAAAGGAAATGACAGCAAATTGAGTGTTCTTCACTTTACTATGATTAAAACGCGGGAAACAGAAACTAATCTACGTCACAGGTTTCAGGAGCTGGCGAAAGTATTCAGCCTGAAAGAATTCATCAAAGGAGTTTTAATTCATTGGCATCATAGAGAATCCTACAAACTTAAATGTTGCAATTCTGAATGTATATATAATACCTGGCAATCTTGTAATGGTTGGAAACAAGCTATGACACGAACGATGATGGTGGCATTCCCCGGGATCCCATTCTTCTCGTGCTTCAATGCTCTGAATCTTGTCTGTGTCGCTGCTTGGTTCACCATTACTTTCTTCCTCCAATTCCAACCACCAACCACCAGAGGAACTATACTAGCCTCTTTCAATTTAATCAAAGGACAGCAAGATAGAGGTTCAAAAGAGTGGTACGACAATAACTAGAGATGAAGCAAAAGTAACCAATTAATTTTTGGACCAATGAAGAGGGACTCCTTTACAATGGACTAGATCGAAAAGAAGAAAGAGAAAGGGAGAATGTCACTAGTTTTCAAGCTCAAATTACAGGATAACTCGGCAGTACAAGTTCAAGGAAACTTTACGGTAGACATCAACAGACAGGCTCAGCCACCGCATAATGTTTCTTTCTAATGTTAACCGAAATGAGGGTTTAAATTCCTATGCCCCTGCAACATAATAGTTAAAATGGAAAAAATATTAAACTTACTAGTAGAATCATTCTCACTGCATTTATTAACTATTAATCGTAAAATCTGCTCCAACTAACATTTCGACAACAATCCCGAAAACGATGCGTCCTCAAGAACTCAGAGCTCTTTTAAACCTAAAAAACACATTTTCTACACATTCTGCAATGACCTCTACAATTCATGATGATAAATCTCATAGTGCTGTATTGTGATATCGCCCTTATTTATACTTTCAATATCATTCATCACCTCTCAACTTGTTTAGCACATATTCTGAACCCGTTCAGAATTGCACCCCTATTTTGGATGCAGGGCAGCCCCATTGGCGGCGGTGAGTGTAGGTATTTTTTCTTTTAATATCGGCCCTACATATAGAAACCCTATGATATAAATATGTATCATCAACCTGTTTAAGAGGTATGAAAAGGAGAGAAACTAGAAACGGGGCAGCGAGGATAGATTAGAGTTTGAGAGATTGCTGCAATCTCTGTTCGTTAATAGTAGAAACGGTGACCAGGTATACTCTTGAGGACGTAGGAAATCAATCCCATTGATTGCCGAACCTCATTAAATCCATATGTATATGCTGTTGTTGTTTTCTTTGGTTTTCGTTCTTTCTTTCGTTAATCTGTGGTTATTCTCCAGCTGTATTGATATCACTTGGTTGTCCTTAGGGTTGTCATTGAGAAGTTTAACTTGCCATACAAATTGAGAGCTAATGAATGCCAATAAAGGAGCTGAATGATAACAAGTGCTTCTACATATATATAAGTGGAGTCATATGCAATCTACCCTTCTTTGAAATTCAACTATGAGATTGAATATGGAAGATTGGAGTCTGAGAAATCCTTGATTTTGCCCTAATATGCTTTGAAATTGAACTTAAAAATAAGAGGAGAAGATGAGAAGGAGAAGTAGACTAAAATAGGATTGAGATTAACTCTAGCTCAGAATCAAATAAAACTCTGACCATAAGTCAAAAGAAGAAGAACAAACATTCACATGGGTTGAGGAGTATATAAGGATATGCAACCATTTGAATGAGTGGAGGGGATTATATCACCTCACTACCGAGCATAACTTTTTGTGTTTGGTACCAAGCATACCCATTTTTTTCATATATATATATATATATATATATATATATATATATATATATATATGAATTTAGTTGGGTAGCAAACCGATAGAGCTCTTTTTTCATTTATGGTGGGTTCCTGCAAAATCTCTTAATGAAATTATTAATCATAAAATACGCTTTTAATCCAGAAATAACCAGGTTTATATAGAAATGGAAATTTTAACAGTTAAAAATACTTATGATTGAAGGAAATGAAGAGATCGACTGAAAGAAACCGGGGCAAACAGTTCCAAGCATTTTCAGAGTCCCAAAAAGGCATCTAAAAACTTCGATTTATTCCCCAGCGACCAAAATTGAAACAAACTGCAAGATCATTTTAAGCACGAATCGATCAACTTCAATTAAAATTCCACTTACAGAAGCCAAAAAGATCCAAACTTTGACGCAAAGCTCCAATTAATTCGCCTGAATTCGATCGCGGTCCGATCCCAGACGAATTTAGTTGAAGGTAAAGAGACACCATCGGTGTCGAGCGGTAGTGGGGATTTATTAGCTCTTTGTGACGAAGTTACCCTTACACTTTTCATGTATTTACGGCGTGGTCAGTGTTTCGTGGGGCAATAATTGCGGAGCACGCGTTGCCCCTGGGGCTGATGCGGGATCATGATTAGCTTGGGTCAAACATGCTGCGATCCTGTCTGCTCTTCTTTTGACTTCCGGTTATGCCCCTGAGTTTGATGGTGTATTACGGGTGTACCCGCGGCCAGCTCTCTCAAGACAGACATGCGGGTAGGGACCGATCTAATCAAGTGCTTCTATTTGCATGCGTGAAATTTCAAAAGGCTGCATCTCAGAAAACGCCCTTCAACGTTGGATGATTATCAGATTAAACTCTTTGTAGCTTTCCACACCAGAAAACCACTCTTTAAGTTTTAGGGGGTGCTTGGTTAGCACTATATTAGCATTAGGATTAGGAATTGGATCTGATAAGGTATTATTATAAAAAAAAGTATTCCGGTGATATCCTATTACTGTGTTTGGTTCACAGCAAATTTATAGATATGAGTTTCTATAAAGTTAAGAAAGATGAGTTTTTTTTATAGAAACCCAATTCAACAGTATTTGGCTGGAATTGGGGTAAAAGTTGACAACACCCCCTAAAACCTAAGTCCTCTTCTCGATTCCTTTCTTTTTCTTTTTCTTTTTGGATTCCGCCGCGCAACAAACCCTAGAATGGTTTCGGCCTTCTCCCGCTAGTCTCCTCCAGCCTCTTCTCAATCATGTCCGCGCCTCACCAACACGTGGTCATTCTGAGCAGATCTGATGATTCACTTCGAACACGCAAAGAGATCTCGGCACTAAGCTTTTGGTTTTGTTCTTGTGAATTTGTGGCTTCGATTATAAAATCAACGGGTGCATTCGATTTTGTGCTTCGTTCTTTGATTGCGAGCTTCGATTGCGAGCTTCGATTTCAAGCTTCCATCAGACGCTTCGATTTTCAGGTTCGTTCTTCGATTTCGAGCTTCTATCCCGGACTTTGATTTTGAGCTTCGTTGGTTGCTTCGATTTTCAGCCCTAATTTAGAGCTTTGGCAGTTGGAGGTAGAAATCAATAACCTAGTTTTTTAAAAAAATTAATATATGATCATGGATGACTTTTTTATCATGGTTGATTTGGCAGTCAAACTTTGATAATTTAGAGATTCGTTGTTCCTTACGTGTTAATAATCATAAATTTTGAGGTTTATCTGCTTTTGCTTGTGGGTTTTGCTAATACACCCCAACATCGTGAAAGTTAACTATAATTTAGACTACATTTTTTATTGCAGCCATAATATATTGTTCTATTTTTTTAAATAAGAATATTAAAATTTTTTCCCTATGTATGTTGGCTTTGTATATTCAAGTGGATAGCTATAATAT